TGTGTGTGTGTGTGTGTGTGTGTGTGTGTGTGTGTGTGTGTGTGTGTGTGTGTGTGTGTGTGTGTGTTGGAGAGAGGTGAGGCATGTCTATGTAAAGTCTTTGGCAGAATCCTAACGGAATATAACTAAACTTTTAACTACCTAAAACTAGAGTGTGTGCGCAGTACATGGAGGAAACTGTTTTTAGATATAAACACAAAAAAGAAAACAAGTCTTGTTTTTTATGTTTTTGATGTTAACACCATACTTTTATGAGTGTTGTGCATTGAAATACTTACTCCTGTTGCAGTGCAAAATTTCCATTTCTGTCTCCACTCTGGATTTTGTAGATTATAGGGTCCCCCTCACGATCCACTGCCTAAAAAAGGTAAAAGAGAACTCATCATTGACACACATGCAGCCACACACATGTATATACATTTTTATAATTGGCAATTCTTTTTGTTGTTGTTTTCTTGTTTGTTAGTTTTTTTCAGTGCAGGCATCACTAAAGCATCTTGAGAGAAGAAAGCACTGAGACTATTGCAATTTGCTAAAACAGTCAATCATGAGTCTCCCCACTGTCCTGTGTGTTATCAATTATTGTGTTCCCATCAAATTTATTTTGAATTTTGAGCAAACTTTTAAAGTGTCGCAAAAAGAAAAAATAAAAGAAGAAATGTGAATCAGACGCGTTTCCATCAACTGGCTTGGAGCGGGACAACCAGGCTACATAAAGTAATTGACATTAGGCATAGCTGTAGTAAACAGAAAGTAGAAGTCGCAAACATGCAGGAAAACACATCTCAGGACAACGGAGGAAAGTTATCAGGAACGTGTTGCTACTATGAGGAATGTTGAAATTATTCTGTCACACCGACTAGTTTTGACGATGTTATATGCGGTGATGTAGAAAAAGAAATGCAATTCTCTTTATGTTACAGGAATATCCAAAAAGACGCAGACAGCGGGAGGAGGGTCCAGGTGCAGCCACAGCTTGTACCAGTACCGGACAGCCAGTAGGAACAGCTGATCAATCCTGTGATGTAAATGTTTGTAGGTCAGAACTTATTCAGCAAATGTGTTTCCATCTCCCCTTTTGCGCATTAACTCTTTTCCAAAAAAACCTAAAAATCAAGCGGGTGTAAAAACTTTTTTGCGATTTTTTTTCAAAAAACGTGCTACTTCCATTTACCTTTTCTAATGCAATACTTCAAAATACGCATAAAAATGTTGATGGAAACGCAACTAATGTGTACCTATTCCAGCCCACCTGACTCAAAAGAACAACATGCCTCAACATAATGTCAAGTTCTGGAGAAGTCTGATAAAAACCTAAAGCAAACCTGGTGTGGTTAAACAAGAAAAGCTAAAACACAAGGGGCTGAGTGACCTGAGCACTAGGACTGGAGAGCATTGTGCTAATGATCATGTTAAAAAGGGACTTGTTGGTTTTAATAAAAAAAATCCCAATTGCAAAACATGGTGAAGTTAGTATTGCTATTTTAGGTTAACTTTCTGCTTATGAACCAGGATGAACGATTAACATTGATGGAACATTATAAGAGCACGAGTCATAAAGGGGAAAAAACAAACCACAACACTGAGTATCTAGACAAAGTTGGATAATGTCTAAAGATGCTGACCCTAAGCAAACAAACAGTTGTTCCTTATTGATTAAACCCAAAAATCTGGCCAARACAAATACTTGTAAAACTTCAAGTTGTCAATAATTGAAACAAACAGTGTTTAGAAAGTTTATTTACAGAGTTAAAGGCTAAATGACTTGGCTTATGAAAATGTACTTAGTTGTGTTTACTTTTTGACAGCTGTAAATTCAACACTGGTAAGTATTTTTCAAGCAATCGAGGACTCTAAAAATAACTAAACAGCTCAGATAATAATGAAAAGACATTTAAATATCCTAACTGTTATTATATTGAATAAACTCAACTAAATTGAAAATAAACTGCACCTGCTTTAAAAATTACAAGGTAAAACATTTCAAGCATTTGGTCAACCAAAAGGTGTAAAAAAAGTGTAAATTATGACAACGAACTAAAAGATGAATGGTGTTTTTTACGGTGTGCTGACATTGAAAATCTAAATTTGTGAAAAATTCAAGCAAAAGATGATGCATTGTGATGTGTGTGTTTCTACCTGCAGATTGAGCAGCGTGGCTCCAATCCTCATAGCTTCACTGACCTCAAGGTTGTACTGTTGCCGTGCGAAACGGGGAGGGCTCTGATTGTTTGGGGGCAAAACTTCAATATAGACTGTTGTAATGGATGACCTGAAGAGAGTCGGAGAGGGCAAAAAGACAAAAAGAGAATGAAATAAAGCAAGTGGGATAGACAATAAAACCAAGACTGCCTGAAACAGGGAATCTGGTAAATTAACAATGGCAGCAGAGAAATGATCGAGTAAAATGGGAAGAGAGAAAGCAGAAAAGAAGAGTAGTAAAAAAAAAAAGCATGTAAGGATGGAGGGGGGATGTCAGGGGGAGTGAATGGCCCATGATTTAAGATAAGAAAGGCTGCACAGTGTTTGTTTCCTTGCTCTTCATGCTGTGTTTAACTAATCAATAAGAGCTTAAAGTCAACAGCAGTGGAAGTGCAGAAAGAAAGAGGCTGGATAGTGCCTTTGCTGCAGGGCTGTAAAGGATTCATACATTTCTTTATTTTTTATCTTTTGCAGAGTTGAATAATTCTATTGTGCGTTCTGACAACCATATTCAGCTGTTTCAGTGATTCAGTCATGCAGAGGGTGCTGACCTTTCAGTGAAAGAGCATTTTGACATAACCCAGCTGGGTGTAAAGAAGTGTCAACACTTTGCCCTTTGGAATCTTTTTTTAAAGCTAGTTAACGCTGTTGTTTTAGTCACTTACACTTTTGATGAAATTTAACAGTAAATTTACAATACTAATAATATTAAAGCTTTTATAATGAAGGTTAAGAATTAGAAAAAAATCATTGACTTTTTCAAACCAAGACCAGTGGTCTATTTTAAAACATTTTACACTTAAGTGTTACCTAGGTCTTAATTGTATAATTTATAAATAACATTCTGGCATGCAGTTATGCAAAATGCACTTGTTTGAACTTTATATCATGTTATAAAGTCATTCCCTCATTATAAACATACTCAGAGTGTTGCTTTGAGTCATTCATTCATGTTTGAGAAATCCTTGAATCTCCTGTAGCCATATGGAGCTGCCTAAATGCTTCCTGGTACAAAGCTCCTCCCTGAAGCTCAGTCTGCAGCCGAGTTCCTGACCCACAGAGCACCCCTGCCCCAAAGCATTATTGTGAAGATGCGCTGAACTGTGAGTGTCCAAAACATCAGGAGGTTCTTAAAGAGACAGAGGCTAATTTCAAGGCATTTCGATTATGATGCAAAGTCAAATTTAATTTTGATATACAGTATATTTACAGCTTTTTCATACCAACTGAAGGTAATATAGTTACTTGATTGTGGTATTCAATTAAACTATGTGCCTGGAAAATACATAATACCTTTAAATTTGGGGTTTCTCTGCTTAGGCTGCTGCCCCCGCAACCCAATCCCRGATTAGAGGAAGAAAATGRATGGATGAATTTCCACTTCAACAAATTTCAGCCAAGTCAAGTACTCAGCACTGCATTTTCACAATAAGTGCAGCTTCTCTAATGTCCTTTCTCTTGTAAGATTATGTTTACCTGTAAAGGCTTGTTTGGGTCCAAGCAACTCAGTTGTAAAGACATTGAAGAGGTCATACAAACAGAAAAACTTCTTAACAGTAGTTACACAAACTACGGTAAAACACATAATAATGCATCATTTATTTAGCTTGATTGTTTGAAAGTTTTTATTTGATATCATATATGCTTCAACCACAACGAATGGTCTTTATGAYTGTTGTAAGTGAATTCATCTCAAATGAGTATCATTTCTCGTGATCTGCATAAGAAAAGTGTTCTACAGTGCCTCCAGACCTGCAACTTGGTTCTTGATGTAATAGGAAGACAACAAAATTCTGCTTCTTAAAAAAAGGTTAGTGAGTTTTTTGATGTCCAACAAGAAGAGGACACAGTTCATTTCGAGTCCTGACATACGGCTTCAACACAGCAGCTAGCAGAGAAAGCTATTGATTTATCATGCTGCTTATGTTTTCTTTGGGGACAAACAGAGGTTCTGGGGAAATCTGGAGACAATCTGTGAGCAAATCACTGGAACCACCTCGATCTGGAGTGGTTCACATTCTATTGCTTTGGCAGGTACAAGACTGTAACCAAGAGCCAAAAGACAAAGGATTCTGTTTTTATAATGACTGATGAAGGTTGTTGGACAGAGTGATCTATTATTTCTTTCACTAGTGTCAGCTACATGTAAGCATTTTGAAAGATGTACATCTCATGATTGAACTGGATTACCTGAACAAAAACCAACACAATTTTATATTTCAGAGCCTAATCAACATAATCTTAAARGACCAGCTGGATGAGCAAATACTTGTTAGTCTTGATAAATGAAAAAGGATATTTGAGTGAAACAACAAGGTGGGGACATATCATGCAAAATCCACCATTTTAGCCATTAAATACGTTTTGTTGTGTACTTGGACTCTGTGAGGGAGCAGAAAAGTTGGATTTAGTCTCTCCCGGTGCTGTGTAAGTATCTTTATATTCTGTTCAGGTCAGATTTTTCATGTTTATATGTTCAGTTTTCTCTATTCCCTATTATGTTTTCTGAACAAATATGTCATATTATTTGCTGCAGAATTACTAAGCAAGGTCAGACTTGCTCAGATGTTAAGGAGTGGACAAAGATCATTGGGAGTGAGATGGGGTGGGGGTGGGCATCTCATTTGCATTTAAAGAGATCACATCAAAATGAGTTGCTCCCAGACACGCAGTAGAACTGGGGTGAAAGAGGGGCCTTTGGAGTTACAATAATGAGGAATAGCCTATATGTCACGGTCATTAATGATGCATTTCTGGTAAAATTCTTGCCACGCTCCTCCCTTCCACTTCCTTGTAGCCTTTGTTCTTAGCGTAAGCTCCTAATACAACTCCGTGAAAAAGTCACAAAAGTTAAAGCATCTGTGAGCTACTGGTATAAAACGCAAATTCTGTTGTGTGCCGTTGTGTCCACTAACCAACAGGTACGATCGAATAGTTAGTTTTTATCCATTCTCCTAGAGGAGGAAAGGCGACAGCTGTGGATCATAGCTATACAGGCAAAACTTAGCTATGAGCTCACACTTGCGTTTGTAATCGACATTTCTAACCTGAGGATATTCAAGAGTCAGCATCAGAAATGAGAAGACGGAGGTTACAAAAGAGAAATGTACATTTATCCCCCTTTACTGCCAAGACGAGAGAGGAAAAACCACCTCCAGACGACAGCTAGGAGAAAGCTAACACAGCAGCCGGTACAGGTAGGTGTGTGTGTGTGTGCACGTTTGTGTTATACAGAGTATGAAATGTTTTTAGGCAACTTTGTCCTGAGTTTTATGCAAAAGCAAAAACTTGTTAGAGTGTATGTTACAGCGTAAACATAACACGAGCGACAAGCGAGCTGTGTGCACATGCGTGCTTTCACACCTGCAGAGTGGCCTCCGCAGGGGGTGTTACTGAAGAGGTCCACGAGACCTGGCTTCAAAAAGGGCCGGTGTCAGAGACTCCGATCATCAGTCATGTGTAAACGAGCAGGTGTATCGCAACAAAAATGTAATGGTTTTACTGAAAACCAGCTCCATTTAAATGGGGCCATAAAAGCACATGTCCCCTTTAATTCCAATAAAAGATGCATCAATTCTTCCAATATGTAATTTAAAACTTGCTTAACCAACTGAGAACACAAAGCAGAGTATAAAGTCAGCCCTAAATTCAAAGTCAAAGATCCATCCCACATACGGTAAATTACTTTGAAACAATGTAAAACTGTGTACAAATTGTTAAATTGCCTTTTCTTTCTTTCAACTAGTTACTTTTGTCAAGTGTTATTTTTAAATACAACTAACAAGAACATAATATTAAACAGATCCATGATTAGTTGTAACATTAGATTTTATTTGATAATCATATATTTTAACTGTTAAATAAAGACTGTAAAAACGCAATAGGCTGTTTAGTTTTTTACATTAAAAATATTTTAACACAGATGGAGCCATTTTATTTACACGCAAAGCATTCTGGGTAAATGATGAAGTGGATAGGTCCTCTGTGTGAGCGAGCTATGTCCACCCTGAAGGTTAATCTTGGACAATATCTGACGAGTAACTCTTTTAAATGAAACCAGAGAGCGCTGACAGAGAGGAGAAGGTAGAAATGACTCAGCCTGTAGCTGAAAATATGGATGGAGGACAACAGAGCTGCTTCATGGAAGAAGAACCCCAGCTTAGYCTGTTAGCCTTCGTGCTAGCGACTTTATATGTATTAGCTTGGCGCTAGCTCGACAACCTAACAAGCTAAACTGAAGTCCTCCATCCATATTTTCAGTTGCAGGGGAGGACGATGATAGTTTCAGGGCTAACGCTAAAGCTAACAGGATCGTCAGATATTGTCCAATATTAACCTTCAGGGTGGATATAACTCGCTAGCAGCCTCGCACCGAGGACTTGTCCACGTCATCATTTACCCAGAATGCTTTGCATGTAAATAAAATGGCCCCATCTGTGTAATAAATTTTTAAACTTTTAATTTAAAAATGATAAAAACTGAACATCCTACAGTATTTTTACAGTCTTTATTTCACAGTTAAAATACATGTTTATCAAATAAAGTCTAATATGTTGAAGAAATTTTGTAACTGATTAATTGAATATTAGATTCAGTTTTGTATTTTCTACTTTCTGATCTTTTCAGTCTGAAAGGTTGAAGCTGACAAAGAGTTGGTGTGTTATCATGTGTTCTTTCTCTTAGCCTAAACAAAACTGAGTGACGTTCTGACGTCTGACGTAAAAGGTAACACCTCCTGGGGTGTAACCAGGAAGAGATGTACATTATAAGATCAATTCATCATTATAGTAAAAAGGAGGTTTTCAGTGTTTTGCAGAGTGTCTGCTCAGAGCAGAGCTCCCGTGTTTGTTTT